GAGTAGTGTGATCTAGGACTAGATTTAGAACTTTAGGTTGGAAACAGAGAAGGATGTGCCTTAGTTCTAGGCTACTTTAGAATCTAAAATTTAGGCCATTATAAATTAGAAAAAGGAAGTCTTGTCTGTTGCCCCGCTTAGCTACCTTGACTCTTAGTTTGGGGAATGAGTCCCTAATCTACCTAATAATGAAGCATTATTTAGCCTTACATTTTCTCACTTTCTACTACACGATTCGGTCTCGATTAGGGATCACACAGGGGTTTCAGGTGGCAGAGAGTGGGTTTCAAAAAACGTATTTTTCTTTGACACACACACCTTAAGCAAATTTTTGAAAAACTACACATTCCTTAGAATGTTTCAAGTTAACATCTACTGTTTTTCATCATAATTTACATAGTTGCCAGTGAGGAATTTTAGGTCTATGATGAATATTGTCATTTAAACAAAATGGAGACCTCACTCTTTTTAATGTTTCTAATGGAATTTAATCACCACCTTCGCCTGAGGGAATTATCTACTAGGAAAAAAAACTAACATGTTCTTTCTTTTTCTAATTTTCTCCTGCTTCTCTACTCTCCTTCCCTTCATTGCCTGGACACTTCAAACATAACAAATGGGCAAGTGGGTTAGTTCGGGACCTCTGAAAAGCAGATGTCAGGACAAGAAGATAATCAAGAGTTTCTGGGCGGAAGTGCCTGTGAGGGCTAAATGGAGGACGAGGTGAGGAAAGGCCACAGACCACGATGCAGGGCTGACTTCTGTAAAGGAGGGGAGGGTGGAGGGCTGTAGAGGCCGAGTCTCAGAATACAGTACAATATTAAGAAAGAATCAGCCAGGGAAAGACAGTGCTTGAATTAAAGTCACCTATCAGAGGTGGCCCATGTCTCTCAGAATGGGTCAGCGATGGAGGATTCTGACAAGCTAGGTTGGGGGTGAGAGCCTCTTCCTTTCCAAGGGCCAGAGCTCAATCAAGTCCTTCCGCTGATCCCGGGAAAGGGAATCCTGACAAATAGGAACCAAGTTCTTTGTGAGCTTCACTTGGGAAGATGGTCCCTTGTGCACTCGTCAAATCCACCTCCCTCCTTGGCCATGTTGTCTGTCTTCAGAAGAAGAGGAAGCTGGAGTCTGCCCGGCTACAACCCGTTAGCGGGGCCCCGTCTATCCGCCCTCACTGTGCCAGAACGAGCAGCAGTGAGCAGAGGAGAAGTGCTGTCCTATCGTTTTTTGCACGATGTGCAGGAATCCAGCGAACATTCTGAACCTGGGTGAGAGGGTCTCATCTGCATGGAGGCGGCAAAGACTGAGACCAAGGATGGAGAGTCTTGGGGTACAGTGGGGTCTCCCTCTGAATCTGGTTGGGGACAAGGCTTAGCTGGGTCTCTGCCACTGCCAGCTTTATAAATCTCCTTGGTTACTTGATCAGTTCGTGGAACCATGAGTCAGGCTGACTGTAGGTCAGCCACCAGTCAATCCACTGGGTTTAGTGAATCAGGCCTTCCTTCCTGAGATGCTTAGGACTCAGTGTGGGGACTGGCAGCAGGAAAAGGGGTTGGCTTCTATGGAGCAGGGCAAGGCTTGGCTGTGATCCTGGGCAGTAGAGCGTCTCAATCTCTGGACCTGCTCTCTCCAGTCCAGGTAAAGCCTGGGAAGCATTCAGTGGTGAAAGGCTCCACCCTTCAAACTATTGCAAAAACAATGCTCAGTGCTGATACAACCTTAAATGTTACAAGGGCAAGTATAGGAAGTGGCGCCTTGTCCCTAAGGATAATAAAAAGAAAGGCTAGGCTCAGATCTATGACCCACTTGCCATCACCCTCCCCCAACATAGCCTAAACCCACTGGAGCTCTGCCTTCATTGGCAAGGGGGCTGTCCCACGTGTAACCCTCAGCAGAAACCCCAACCCTTCAACACCATGTCCCACAGGCCACTTCAGAGGATCGCCTGTGGCAGCATTTCTATTCATGACTTCTCTGACCTGGGAGGGAGATGGCCTACGAAAGCTTGGAGACACAGCCCTAGAAATAAACATAAGGACAAAATCTTTGTGACTCTGGGTTACACAAAGATTTCTCAGATACAACACCAATAGCAGAGACGAAAAAAAATTAATGATTTCATCGATTTTAAAATTAGGATTTCTTCAAAATTAAAAACAGTTGCTCTTTGAAAACAGTGGTAAGAAATTAAAGACAGGCCACTAACTGGGAGAAAGTATTGGCGAAATACATAGCCGACAAAGTACTTGTATATAGAACATATAAAAAACTCTCAAAACTCAACAAGAAGGAAACAAACAAGCCAATGAAAATGGGTAAAATATTTGAGCAGACACTTCACCGAGGAAGACATACAGATGGCAAACAAGTATGTGAAAATATTCACTTCATCATTAGTCTTTAGGGAAATACAAAGTAAAACCTCAATGAAATGAGATCTCTCACGCACTGCTGTTGGAACTGCAAAATGGTAAGACGCTCTGGAAATAATCTGGCAATTTACTCTGAAGTTCACAAACACTATTCCCAGATATAACAAGAGAAATGTAAACCACATCCACACAAAAACCTGTAAATGAATGTTTATAGCAGTTGTATTCATAATCGCCAAAAAGTGGGAGCGACTCAAATATCTTTCACCTGGTAGCTGTAAAAACAAACCGTGACGTGTCTGTGCAATACTACTCAGCACTGACGAGGGACAAACTACAAGCAACATAGATGAAGCTTAAATACATTATGCTAAGTGAAAGAGGACATATCCAAAAGGCTACATACAGTTTGATTCCATTTATATGACACCCTCAATAAAGCAAAACTACAGGGATAGAAAACACATCAGTACTTGCCAAGAGCTGGGAGTAGAGAAAGAGATTGACTCCAAAGGGTGCAAGAGAACTTTGCAGGGTGATAGACCTCTCCCTCTTGATTGTGGTGGTGGCTACATGGCTGTATGCCTTTGTCAGAACTCTCAGAACTGCACACTAAATTGGGTGAATTTTACACTAAAGAATACAAACACAGTCTCTCTTCTTTAGGACTCCGTATTCTCATAGGGAAGCATCCCCCATAAACCACCACCGACTAACTTCAGTGATAATCATTAAGAAAGTGATAAGTGCAGGGCACGATGGGACACAGAGGAGGGGCTCCCAACTCACATGGGGGAGTGAGAGAGAGAGAAAGAGAGAGAGAGAGAGAGAGAGAGAGAGAGAGAGAGAGTCAGTCTTATGTACAAAGGAACCATATTGTAAGAAGAATAATGCTTATGTTTAGTGCTTTACCTAGGTGATTGTATATCTTCATGAGCAACATGAGATAATAGGCTTTCTTTCTAAAATATATTTTCTTATTTTAGTCAAAGTTACACATACGGATAAATTGAAGAGTCACATAGTTTTATAAAAGTTGTTGTGAAAAACAGCAGTTTTTGCTTACTGCCCCCGCCCCCAAGGCAACCACATTTACCTTATCATATTGGCACTTATCTATATCTCCCTGCCTCTAAGTAGTAGTCATGTGATGTTACCTCTTCACTTTTCAGTTTTAGATGTAATCTATTGACTTACCACGATTGAAAATGAGATTGTCATCCACTTCTTTCCTCCCTACACCTGTCGCATATAGGCTCACCCTTCCACCCCTCTCTCTCCCATTAAAGTTATATGATAATCTTGATTCAATCAACACTATTGTTTACGTTATTATGACTATGTAAACATTTGTCGTAGTTGAACGATGTAGTAAATGATACTACTTTTCTTTTCTGGCACAGCTGTTTTTCTCTCTGAAATGAAAAATTGTCAGGTTTTGCCTGTGCTTCATTCTGTATGTAGCTGTCCGCTTTCAGCCATGAACTCTTCATCATCTTCTAGCAGATGTGTTTCCTAGAGCCCTCTGACCTGCTCCAATCTGGGCTGGTGGCCCTAGATTTCTGGTATTCAGCTGTCGCTCTGGGATTTTGTCACCACCATCACGGGGGTCCCTTCTTTTCTCCCCTACATTCTGTTTTCTGAATCCCATTTTTTTTTTCTTTATTTTACCTTAATTGGCTTGCACGCAGTTAATAGTCGGTAAATGAGAAACTTCATTAGAATCATGAAAGAGCAGTGCACTCCTTTGGGGGCGTGGGAGAATTTGTTGAGCGTGTTACATGGCGCCCCTTTCCTACCTGGCTGCTCGGCTGACCGCTGAGACCAGTCCTATTGGTCCATGTCAGAAAAAGTGGCTCAGATGTGATTTGCTTCACATTCACTTCACTTCCAATTACAGTGCCAAGCAGTCGTGTGTTCGCTGTCCTCAACGTCCTTCCACCTTATTTCAAATCTTTCTTGGTGACCCAGTCAGTTCTTATTATCCCCAATTCACAGCTGGGAAGACTGAGGCCCAAAGAGGTTTTTATTCTGTCCCTACTTCTCCTGTCATTCAGTGAGGACTCTTTGAGAAACCCCCTTGTGACTGACAGAGTGCCTGGAACTGCAGGTGTTATATTGAAACGCGTCGAGAGAGAACGAGCGAATGTGTCACCTGAAGTTTAGGGAAGGGAGTGGTAGTGAGTAACGCCCAGGAATTCAGGAGTGTGGGAGAATCAGGGCACATCGAGAGGCCACACCTCACTAATTATTCCGGTATTCTAAGAAGTGCCTTGTAATGAATGGATCTCCTTCTGCTCTGCCCCTGATGCTCCCTCTTTTCCCCTCCCCCACCTGCCCCGAAGGCAGGTGTTTCAGGGTCCCCTAAAGTGTTACAGAATGGTTTTCTGACCTGCCTGGTGACACCTCCCCCTTACCTCAAGTTCTACATTTCCCTTTCAAGGTCTCAGGCTCATACCTGGGACAGAAAAGAGCCATCAGCACTCTGGGTGGCAAGGTCACAGTTTTTTCCTGAATTTCCTGCTTATGAAAGAGCAGCCAGGAGGGTCACAGCAATTCTAGTGGGGCCACACCCACAAGGAGAGAGGGTGAGGTGGCCCTGGCCACCACAGCCCCACCTGCCCTCACATGAAGCCCAGCAGCCTCATCGCCTTTGTGGTGCTCCTGGCCCACGGAACCCTGACATCGAGGGCTGCGGAAGGTGCTAGCAAAGGTGAGTGAGTCTCTCAGGCCATGCAGATGCCAGGTTCAGCGATGGCTCTGTACAGCCTCTTCCTTTCCGCCCAGGGGCTGACCTGGAAGCCATGTTTCCAATCCAGTCCCTACCTAACTTCAAGCATCTCTCTGAGGACTTCAGCTAAGAGTCTCTGAGCAACCAGAAATCCACCTTTCGTCAAATGGACCTATTTCCCCCGGTCTCTGTCTTACTTTTTCTTTCTCTACAGCTCTTTCTTTACTGTTTTATCTTTTTCTCTGCCACATTATTTTTGTCTCCTGTTTTATTTTCAAATTTTTTGTCCTACAGCTCTTGTTTTGATGATCACTGTCTCTTTCTCTATTTACTTGTCCATTGATCTTCCGTCTCTGCCTTCCTCCAGCCAGGCTACATCTCTCCCTCTCCCTGCCCCTGGGCCATATGAGCTCTGTGCAGCCACTTCCTGCAGCTGCCTTATATTGGTTTAGGACAGCTGATTGGTAAGTTTTCAGGACTTTTGTGAGCTAGTTTCATCACATTGGCAGCTTGAAATCAATCATGGTGGGAGTATTTATACCATGGAAATTGGTGAACACTATGAAGTCTCCTGCTTTATGGTGTTTATCATCATATCACCATCTGTATCTTTTTTCTTGGGCCATTGACTCCCTCCTGGTTCAGGGCTTGGCTGAGCTTAGCACTGCCCCACACCAGTCTTGAAACGAATCCTGACTGCTCCTTCCATTCCTTTGGAGTCAGCCTCCTGGGTTAGGTTTTCTCTCCCCTCCAGGGAAGCTGGTTCCTTGTCCAGAATTGTGGTCATGACTCAGAATCAGCTCCTTCTCCATCTTTGTTCTTACCCTACAGAAAAAGCTAAACATGGAGCCTGCCCCTTCATGCCTCCGGCAATGTGCCTTTTATATGAACCCCCTCAATGCCACAGTGACTGGCAGTGTCCCAAGAAGCAGAAATGCTGTCCTGGCCTTTGTGGCATCAAATGCTTGGATCCTGTAGACCCATCAAAGCCAGGTGAGGAAGTAGAGTCCTGGAAAAGGGGACCAGGGAGATTTAAGCTTGAGGACACGCATCTTGGAGAAGTTGGCGGGCTGGATGGTGGGGCAGAGCCAGGGCTTGTCCACTCTCAGCTCTGTATTCTCAGTCAGTTGGGCAGGAGGTGAGCCAGTAGCCAGCTGGCCAGTCAGTCAATAAGTCAACTCACTGACTGCAGTTCGTCAGTCAGTAAGTCCGTCTGTCTTAGACACAATACTGATTGGGGCCCCTTAGTGAGAAAGAGTCTCCTTCAGGATCTGCACAGGCTTCTGTTCAGGTACTGAAGTGGAGGAGGGCCTGATTCCCACGCATGGGATAAAGATGGGAGTGAGAGCTTGGGTGGTATCTATGGAATCAAGCCTGAGTTGTGGCTTTCTTCTCACCAGTTAAGGTCAATCCTGGGAAGTGTCCAGTGTCCACTGGCCAGTGTAAGATACTCAACCCCAGAGACAACTGCTTGAATGACAGCCACTGCTTGAACGGTTTCAAGTGTTGCAAGGGGATGTGTGGGAATTCATGTGTCAAACCAGTGTGAGGTAAGGTGAAGACCTGGCAAGATCCATGTTCCCCCCCCCATCCCTGTACAGCCTCCACCTCCTGGGGTCCCTCCATGTAAGGGAGGATGCTTGGTCCTTCCCTGTACCCCCCCTCCCACCACCAAGCAGATCCTCTGCCCTTCAATGTCATTTGTCCCCAGTTCTCTAAACAAGAAGTCCCCAAGGTCACCTATGACTGGTAGTGCTGGGTCCTGGGGGAGAAGGACTCTTGGAATGAGCCAGGAGAAAACAGCCATGAGAAGGAGACATGAGTTCTATCTTTTAATATCGTCTCTGTCTCTGAAGGACTTCGTGACTATGAGCAACTGATTGTTTCTTTTGTAGCATCCATCTGTAAAATGGATGCAATTATATCCCATGAGATACTAAATGCAAACATGCTTTTTAAGACTAGGAGTGCTGTGCATATTGAGAGAGTATTGCTCTGGCTATGGCCTCAATTGTCTGAGTTATCTGGAACCACAGGAAACCCTAGTATGACGCACAGATGTAGAGGCCTTTGAGGAATCCTCTGGCCGAATACCCTAATTTTACCAGAGGGAAGACTGAAGCAGAGAGTCAGCCCCTGGATTTGTCCTTGAATCCCAGATCAAAGACCAGCACTGTTTCAACTATTCCAGCACCATATTCTCTCTCTACTTATTCCAAGGGACTGAATGCCTAATGGCAGGAGGCCCCTCTTGGTGAGAAGGATGTAAGAGTCACTTCGATTGCTCCTGTGCTGAAGCTCTGTTTTGTTTTGTTTTGTTTCCCACAGATTTATTCTTGTCAGTTCAGTAACATTAGGACTTCCTGATATGTGTGGTCTGGGGATTCTTTTATCTCCCAAGCCTGGAAAAAAATGAGAGTACCTTAATGAAGATGTGCCTTTGTGACCAACACCTCCTTTGGGGCTAAGATTTGACCTGTGTCATCTATGTATCCAGCATCCAACATGAGGCTTGGCACAACAGAAAATGTCTGTTGGTTAGTGAATAAATAAATGTTCAGTTTCTTCTGCATTTTCATCTTCCTTGACTCATTGAGTCTGGTCTCGAATATGATGGGTGAGATAAAGAATGAAATGTCTGTACGTGTGGGGTTTCCCCCACAAATTATGAAGAAGGAAGAGAGTGTTTAGAGTCAAGTAGATATGGGTTTAAATCCTGCATCTGTGTATTACTGGCTCTGTAATTTTGAGCAAATGACTTTGTCCCACTGAGCCTCAGTTTAGTCGTTTATAACATGGGGATGACAATAGCAATGCCAGTTCCATAGAGACATGAGGATCAGAGGTGATACCATGTGAAATGAATAGCCCAGTGATTGTCACATAGTAGGATCTCAATAAATGCTAGACTTACCTTAGGGTAAAAGGCTTTCTTAAGCAAGACACAAAAAAATTAAGAAAATGGCTGATAAATTTGACTACATCAACATAAAAAATGATAAACACAAAGAGTTGAAAGACAAACGATAGCTTTGAAGTACATATTTGGGATAATTATAAGAGACAGAGAAACAGAATGAAAAATATGTGAAGAATTTCTATGAATCAGGAAGAAAAACAACGAAGTTCTTAGAAAAATGAACTATAACTAGATGAGCAATTAAAGAAGAGATAGTATTATAATAGATGGTCAATATGAACATAGAGAGAGCTTCGATCTCACTAGTTATCAGGAACAGCCAGTTAAAACAACATCTTTCAACCATCTTTCAACCATCAGAATGGCAAGAATTAAAAGTCTACAGTATAAATTCTCAGAGACTTTATTAGTTTGCTGATGGGCGTGTAAACTGGTACAGCCACTTGGCAGAGTGAATGGTCATGCCTAACAAAACTGAAAACACACATAAGCTGTCATTTAGGAATCTCCTTTCTGGAAATATAGGCAAGAGAGCTTAATACATGTATTAGGATGTTTATTATAAGATTGTTCCAAAGAATCAGAAACTAAATGGCCCTCATTTGTGAAATGGTTAAATTTTCATACCTTGATATGCTATAGTAAAATTAAAATAAATGTATGTGAATCGGCATGGAGACATATCACAAAAAAAAAGTTTGTTAGGAAAATCATATTGTTGATGTAAATAGGTAGTATGAAGTATTTATATATATTTAAAAAATCACTCATAGAACTGAAAGCCATTTACGGGTATATACCAAAGGATACACACCAAATGTGAGCCGATGGCTTCCACTAGGGAAGAGAAATTGAAAATGGAACTGGTAGTGTGGGCCAAGGAAACTGATGGTTTATTCAAGATTTATCACTTGAAAACAAAAAAATATATAGTACTCCCATTCTAGGTACTTCTAATATTAAATGTTGGGGTAAAACAAATCTTTCTGATCTGTTCTTCTTCTAAAAGTTGTAGCCAGTAACATGGAGAGCAAGAAACAGAGAATCAAAAGTCATCTTAGATGAAACTAGAAATCATCTGTACCCACTGGCTACAAGATACAACTGAAAACAGAATTTTCAAATTGGAGAAATGTTAAAGCTAATGGTTTGTGGCAGGAGATATTTATGAGAAACCCTGTAAAGTTTTGGAAAGGCTTGGAAATCGAGAGTGGGAGATTGTTTCAAGGGAGGTGCTGTTTTAGTACCTGTACAAAGAGCAGGCAGACTCCCAGGTCTTCTCCCATATCTCGGGCATCTCCTAGAGATTGGAGGCTTTGATCTCTGCAGAAATTGAAGAATAGGAACCCTGGGCTCAGCCATCCCTGGCCCAGAGAAGACACTGAGACGCAGTACTAAAAATGGGGAAAAGTGAAAAGCTTCTTATGAATGGTGAGGCCCCCTGGCACCTCACTCTCACTCCCAACATAGCTCCAGAGTTTCCACAGCAAGGTCTAAAGCCATCAGACAGAGAATTAGAGAATTCTTACTTGGAAAAACTGAACCACTCCAAAGAAAAGATAAGCACATGAGGGATCCCTATAGATGGGGATATCCAATTAAAAGCTGAGAATCCACCTTTAGTAGTCAGTAGGGCTATTCACAATTAGCCAAGGCTCTTCCTCCCTTCTTTCCTTCCAGGCATGGTCATGTGACTTGCTTTGGCCAACGAAATGTGAAAGAAAGTGATGTGTGTCACTTCCTGGCAGAAACTTTATTAGCCAGCGTCCGCCTGGCTTAGGTAAAAGGGTATTCCATATGTTTCTCATGGCTCCTTACAGTTCTGCGTGGAGATTGGGGCCAAAATACCACTTAGAATAAAGCATTGTCTGCCTGTAGGGAAGGGGAGGATTGGAGTGCCTCTGACTTTACCTCCTTAGCTTTGCCCTATGACAACTAACTTATGGCATAAGAACATTGTCTCTAACCCAGCTGGAGGGCCTGGGCAAGGTATGAAGGTGCCTGGACCAGCTGTCTTTCCCCCCATCCCAGCCTATGGGAAAGGCTCTTAGTAAATTCCCTTATTTCTGCTGATTTCCTTTCCTAAGATATCTCCACATTCCTTCACTCAGGCCAGAAAAATTTACTCTTTCACCAAAAAGTCCAAGTCCTAGGAATTTTTGAAATCTGAAAATCAGAGAGAGGATCGAGAGACCAGGACTCAAGTTCAGGTTCTGTTATTACTAGTTAAGTGACCATAGACAAGGCACGTACTCTCTCCTCCATGTTAAATACAGACACGAAGTTAAAACAATTCATATTTAAAATAAAACCAGACTAGCCCCTCCCAGGCCTTGACCTTAAAGTGCCCACCTCCAGGGTCAATGAAATGATACATTACTGGAGGTTTCTACGGAAAAAGAGTTGTCTGAAGAGCTCACCCCCTTTATTTGGAGTTTCTTCATGGTCCCCAGTGAAGGAACGGACTTAGATGTCGATAACTAACTGCAGCAAAGGTGAACACAGAACCCAAGCTGAGCTAACTGGACTCTCACTTATGAATTTTGTCCCTAGTGCTGGAAAATCATCTAGATTTAAGAAACCATTACAGTACCAGGAACAAGGCTAAGAAAGCTTAAATCTGGCCTGTAGAGAAAAAAGAATAAAGTAGATCTAAAGCAGAGAGGAGAGGCCCTGGCAGCAAGAGAGAGATGGGCCTCAAGATACCTAACCCTAGCATTCATCAATATCCACGGTCTCTGCTTTTTCCTGGGCACACGGCTAGACTGAATTTTCCATCTTCCTTTCCAATTGAGGGTAGCTTGGGACTGAGTTCTGGTCAAGGAAATGTGAGCGAGAGTGACGTGTTCCAATTCTGGACCAATGACCTGGAAGGAGCTATAGATGGAAGGAGCCTGGGATCCTGAGTTCCCATATGAATCACAGCCTTTCCTCCCCCACTTGCTTGGGACTATGACGTGAACAAGAAATAAATTCTCATTGTGTTAAGCCACTGAACTGAAATTTGTTTATTATACAACTGATACAGTCCTGACCACCATTTGGAGTCCAGCTTCAGTCCACTCTATGTCCCCATTTTTTTCCTGCCCTTGAGTTTTCTGTGATGCCTCCTTATTTCGTCATGGATCTCACGTGGAAGGGTCTGCCTCTAGTCCACCTTTGAGTGGGAGTGGGGGTGGAAAATAAAAGAAGAATCAGAAACCTCACTACAGGAATACCATGTATAAATAAATTATCCTTACTCTCCAGGCCTATATGAAGGAATATGATTTTGTTACATGGGTCCTTTAATTCTGACCTTTCTGTACTAAAAGAGCGTTTGCCCCTCCAAAACTCTGGGCACATTTTAAACCTGTCCTATGCTGACTGCAGAGTTCTGTGCTTAAATAGCTTCTTTCTAGTCCCTTAGTTTCTGCCTTTTCTAAGGAGAGGATGGGGAACTTTTTCTTTTATCCTGATTCTCTTCAAATAGGTCGCTTTTCATGGACTTTCGCTTGAGAGGTATCTCTTTCTTCCGACCAAACAAACCTTGACTCAATCTCTCAAGGTACAATGGGCTATTGAGAGATCATTTGGCCAGGTTTCAAGAACTGAAGTCGCTGCCTAATTCTGCTGCTGACTCAGTCTGT